CTGATCGAATCTCTGTAGATCCTCACCTCTGATCAGGATGTCCAGGGGGTCACTGGAGGCCGACCACTCAGAGGAGAGGTTGTGCACACCATAGCATCTGTATTGGCCTCCAGTGGAGTGGCTCAGTGTGAAGTTGGCCATGGAGATGCCAGTGTTGGCCCACTGGCTAGGGTGCTGCATGATGTTAGAATCCCCCGCCTTGTACAGAGCAAACCTGTCATAGTTGATGTCAGAACAACACTGCAGAGTGAGGCTCATTCCAGAGTCCAGGATATGGCCTTGGTGAGTCAGCAGAGAGGGCTTCTTGGACAGCCCTAGAGGGAAGGTGACAGTGACTAAGCTCTTACCAAAAACCTTTGACCTCCCTTCCTGCCCAGCACATGTCACAGCTTCTCCCTAAGCAGGGCTGTGACTGAGAACACAGGTTCTCCATTTAGTTCTTCTCTTCCTGCAACTCTGCAGACGGGCAGGCCATGAAAAAGTGCTTATGTTCTCATAAAAGATTGGAAGAACGATGGTGCTGACTCACCTGAGATGTGAATTTCCAGGGGTTCACTGGATACTGACCACAATTGTGCTGTATTCTTGTAGTAACCATAACATCTGAACGTCCCTGTGAGGTTTGGGGTCATAGGTCCCATGACAAACAGGGCTTGGTACTGTCCTCTAGAAGGAATATGCTGTGTCACCAGTGAGCTGGTGAACTTCTGATCTTCCTTGGTGAGAATGAATTCATCATAGTGACTATGTGAGGCACACTGGAGTGTCATGTTCCCTCCTACTGTCACCACAGGGCTGGGCAGCACTGACAGCCTGGGTTCATAGTCCTGATAGATTCCTAGGAGAGAAGGAGGAAGTTTGTTACATGTCCTCACACTGTCACAATGTTCCCATGGATCACTCTCTGGGAGGGGGAGTACTCCTGAGAGCAGAGCCTGGGGGTAGGAACCTGACTGTCCCCTCACCTGTCACCACCAACTCCAGGGTGTCACTGGGCTCTGACCAACCAGTTGAACTGTAACAATAACAGCGATATTGTCCTGCATGATCTCTCCTCACAGAAGGGATGAAGAACTTGCCCTTGTTCCCAGGCTCCTGTGCTGTCTGTGCTCTCCAGGTTTTTTGGCTTCTCTCATTATGCAGAAAATACATTTCTTCATCCATGTTCCCCTGACACCAGATGGTCACGGAACTAGTGAAGGAGATCACAGAGCCCGGTTCAGCCTTGATGATGGGTTTGGGGAGGTTCCCTGCAAGGAATTAGGAGAGAAGCAAGTGGGTGTGCTTGAAAGTGGTACCGAGAAAGTCACACTTGGGAGACGGATGGCATTTAATGTGATCCAGATTAGGACAAAGACCTGTGAAGACTCATCTCAGTTGTGGACATCCTGGGTTTTTGGACTATTTCTGCATTGAAATCTGTATCTGTGGTCGCACTGTCTCCTGT